AAAAACCATCACATCAAATTTTTCTTATCTGCTATCCATTTTCTTTTTTAATCAGCAAGAAAATGCATTAACAATGCAAACAACTTGGTGAAAATCCTGAACTTTCATATAGAAAAGAAAGTGTTTTCTCTTGGTGAATGACTGTTACACTTGTTTAAGAGGTGACCACATTGCCATTTGCATTTTTGCTAATCAAGTAATTTATATGCCTTGCTAAGTTGGGACTCCACTTTGATAATTGATGCTATGACCTGTGATATTTCAGACTAGTGAATGGTCTGAGATAGTGGGGCTCATTAGAGCTTAGAAAGTATGTAGTGTTACCGTCATTTCCAGGGGCAGTGTAGCCATGAGAACCAGTGACTTTGGTTCTTACTTTCTAGGTGATTTAGACAATGGAGGGAGTAAAGCTAACCTAGGTGGGTATTTATGAAGAATTTCAATTCCTTTTTAGCTTAGTAGCACATTATGGTAAGGAACTGAGGCTTTGCCTTCCATCCACAGACAAATAAGGATGATCAAATCATCCTTAGGTGACGGGTTAGGCAACCCCAGGAGACGTTAAGGGGCAAATATTATGTGTGTCCAATCTACTAAGGAATTTGAAGCCAGAGTGTTCTGTTAAACAATTGGCTCAATTGTCTGAATCTCTCTGAAACTTCTCTGCCTGGGCACATCTCCTGATCAGAATATCTTATCAGATATCCCAAGCCACTCAAGTCTGTGGGACCAAGGCCAAAGCATATTTATTTCTCTGCATCTTTGTCCTTTTATAATCGATGGGTTAGAGGGAGAAGGAGTAGATGGACAGGGTTGAAGGATTCTTTTACTGGAGGAAATAAGAAGAAAATGACCCAAAAGAGCCATAGCTGTCTATTGCACTGTCTATTGCAATAGTTAGATTTTTCATTGAACTAGGGGCATGCCTACCATTAATGATGAAGTCACATCAGTTCCTAATATTATGTTCTAAATGGCTATGGGAAAATGGGCATCGTGAGTTTTTCTATTCTCGATTAAAACACAGGAGAAATTCACTAGTTGTTCCAAAGTAACATTTAAAACTGGAATTTCTTCTGAGTATTGTCATCAGATTGCTTATCAAATTGGTGTCTACGTTTTCAGAAAAATAACTCAAGCTATTAAGAATCAAACCATTGAGAGATGAGCTCAGATTTTTTCCTGCATGAAAAAGAGAATTATGTTTGTCTTTTACCTTCCATTTATATCTTACATTGCAGTAAAGAAAGGAGGTGGAGGAAACCTTACAAATAAGAAAGATAAAATGAGATAGAGTGCAAGGGACTATAATTGCAGAACACTGGCCCTTCTTTCTCCCTGAGTGTGGAAAGGGGGAAACGCAGGCCATTTGCTACCATAGAAACCAGCCGAAGTATGTGGGAGGAGAGGGAAGGCCCACAGGAGGAACAGAAAGATTTAAATTTTTGCTAAGTTAAGTTCTATTCAGTTTTATCTTTTTTAAGGGCAAGAGATGTATATATGTGTGTATCCCTTTTATTTTATTGAGTTCCAATCTGCCTTCCCTCCTAGTTTGTCTTTTTGAACCTAGTGATTTTTTTCAGTGCAGCCTTGAGTAAAAGGAAGATTAACAATTGAAAAAAAAAAAATCATTGAACACCCACTGTGTAGTGGGCACAGGAATGCACAGACAGCAAGTCACCCAACACACACTGCACTGCCTCCCTAGACAGAAACCCTCTACTGGACTACGCTGAGTTAGACAGGCCCCAATTTGCATGCACGGACATGGCTTAGAAAACCCACAGCTCCAAGTGAATTCCTTTCCCTTTTTTATTCCAGAGGCTGTTTCTGAGCCATGGTTCCTTTTAATTTTGAAAACTGAATGTTAAAAATGCTATTACAAGTTGTCCTCAACGCAGCTGCTGGAGACATGCCTTCTGTGTCTGCTGTCACAGGCAGCTACCATTCCAAGTCACAGACAGAGACGCCTTTCCTTCCCCTACCAGCCCTCCAGTCCTTTCCAAAGTACTGTGCTTTGCTGTCTTCTTGGTGTTGCTTTTGCCAGAACTGTTTACAGTCGGAGGCACAGTATGCACCTCTGCCGATCAGCTTCTTTCACTTACTAATGCGCATTTAGGTTTCCTCCCTGCCTTTTTGTGACTTGATAGTTTGTGTGTGTGGTTTTTTTAGTGCTGAATAATATTCCATCATCTGGATGTACTATTCACAATATCCTTTTCAATCATGCATTTGTTTCTACTGGTCACAGGTGGGATGTATGTCCTTGGCCTTGCTCTGTTATCTAGGTGGACTCTGTCTATCTCACTAATGGAATAGAGCAGAAGTGATGTACCAATTTCCACTCACGGGCCTCAAGAGATTGGCAGCATCTACTTCCTATCACACCTGCTCTAAAGGAAGCTGCCAGCCATGCTGTGAGGGAGCCTGAGGGAGTTGGATGGGGAGGTGGGGGTCTAGCTCTGCTGTCCCGGCCATTCCAACTGAGATGCAGACGTGAGTAAGACGCCATCCCAGATGTCCAGCCCAGATGAGACTTCAGATGACCCTTGCCCTAAGCGACCCCAAGTGACAACCACCCAGCTGAGCATAGCCCGACAGAACTGTGAGCCACTAAGGCTTGGGGTGGTTTACTAGTCAGTCATAGGTAGCTGCGGCCAGAAGTAGTGGCAATTCTACCTCACAGGACTATTGTGAGGGCAAAATGAGATTTTTTTTTTGTATTCTAAATCCCTAGTCTGCAGCTTGGAACAAAACAAGCCTTCAATAAATATCAATTATCTTGCCCCTTCCCTTTCCTTTTTATTAATTGTTTGAATTTCCAAGAAGGGGTAACTCTCAATGTTATCATCTAAGGGAGGGAGGGTAGAAGTGGGCTCTTTGCTGGATGTTTGGAGTTTAAAGAGCTCCCCTTTCTTGTTTCCTTCTCCCTCTGGTTTCTTTCTTTCGTAAGTTCTTTAAAACACAGACAGATCTTTTAGACCTAAAATAAGAATACCAAATTCAGCTTTTGTGTTGCAGACAGAAAAATCATAGGCTTAGCATGGACTCATGGTAATGAACATCTAGTCTTGGAAGCTAAAAGACTCAAAGCAAAATTCATCTTGATAACTTCTGGTGGGTGTGTATAAAACAGTTAAGCCCAAACTTTACATATTTATTATACCATGCAAGCATGATAGAAATAAAGGTATTTTTTGGGGGGTCGGGGGAGAACAATTTAAAAAGTTCATGGTTACCTATAATTATAGTCTTGCTAAGTTTGACTTTATACATTAAAATTCAAGTTTGATTTAAACCAAGCAGAAAGTGCGTCATGGAAATGCTGTTTTTCCTTCTGACTCAAATGGCTGAATTTATTTCATTCTAGTGCTCTCCCTGGAAGCAACCTTTTATTACCTTGATTGCTAATGTTGTGTGTCTTGCTCATTATGTCGCCCATCCTGGAAGATGTGACATCAAGGAGTTTGAGATTACCTTTCTATTTGCCCCTTGAATTCCTGCAAACATCTAATCCATAATAAGCAAAAAGATTTGTCTCAGGGTCTGAACAGGGCCATGCATTGTCAAATATCTGGTCAATTAAGTTGAGGGTGCAAGGGGAGTCAAACTAGATGCCTGACAAGCATAGATAAGGGAATTGGTTTATTTTACTTTTACATTTCAATCTTTAATGTGGTGTGGACACAAAGTCACAGTTTGTTATCGTATGCCTCAGGATAAAAGCCTCTGGAACAGTCTAACCACGAGGTTAGAAAGGTGTGGAGGAGTAGGGTTCTGATGTGGGTAGGGAGAGGTGGCCAGTCTGAGTGTCTGGTGACATTCTGCAGTCAGTTCCAGGAACAGAATGTTACTTGGAAGGAGAAGTTAGCCTATTAGGGACAATCCCTTTCCCTTATGAGAATGAAGGGGCTGGTGCTTCAGATTTCATATGCAAGTTCATATCTCTCTTGGCTTCATAGTCTCTTAACTAATTCTTGCCATTCCTTATGCCAAGAGGCTTAAGTGTGGACTCTTTTCTGGGTTCTGCCTCCCAATCTAGTTGGAATTCAGAGACAGTTGGGCAACTGTTTTCTTTCCATTTCACAGCTCTTGGAGGAGGTGTGACTGTAAGGCGCTAGAAAGCCTGTTCTATAATTACTTCTTGACTTGCCTCTGGGCGCGCAGTACATGCACTCAGGCGGATGTGTGTTCACGTGAGATTCTGCGATCCTGAGTGATGCTCCACCTTGATGACAAGAGCCAGAGAAGGTGGGTCTAGAGCAAAACGTGCTAAGCATTTAATCCCAAAGTCAAGTGAAACACCTCGAGCATGGGGTCTTTGTTACTGTAGACAAATCTACGATTCCAGACGCCACCCCGGATGCACCCAAGCCAGTGCAATCACGACGCAAATTAAGGAGAGAAGCATGAAGCCAAGCAGCAGGAGGGGCGTTCCGAACCCCAAGTACTCATACCCTGGAGTTCCTGGGTGACCCCCAGCGCAGGTTCAAGACGTGGGCGGGGCGAGGCCAAGAAGTCATTTGGCTGCAGGGAGTGGGCGCGTGGGCTGGGGATCCGGGCGACGGCAGATGCCTTGAAACTGCTTTGGGGAGACAGACTCGCCTCACGCGGCTTCCAGGCCGAGCCTCACTTCCCGCACCCCAACGCGCCCCCCACCCCCGCAGCCAGAGCCTGTGCCGCGTGTCTGCGCAGCGGGGCTCCGGCCGGCCTTCGGCGCTGCGCTCCCCGGTGCCAGCCATTGGCTGGGCCTTCGGTTGCACCCCACAGGATGCCCACTTTGGGGCCCGCTGCCCCAGAACCCCGCAGCTTCACGCGGCCGGGCATTAGCTCCCCGAGCCCCCCCGCCGCCCCCTCCGGGCCAGGCGCGCGCGGAACGGCGCCGGGGGCGGAGCCTGGCGTGGGGCGCCCCGGGATTGGCCGCGGGAGGCACGGGGCGGGGCGGCGCCCCGAGAAAACAGCGCGCGCGCCGCCGGGTGCAGTCCCAGCCTGGAGCCCGAGCTGCCCGAGCCGCCCGAGCAGCCGTGCCGCCGCGCTCCGGTGCTTTTTTGTTTTGCTTTTTTAAACCCGCGGCACCCGCGCGCTCCCGACCCCCTGCCCGCTCGCGCGCAGGACCAGCCTCCTCCGCACCCGCAGGCCCGGCCGCGCGCGGTGCAGCCCCGGCGCGAGCGGCGATGCGCCTCATCCAGAACATGTGCACCATCGCCGAGTACCCCGCCCCGGGCAGCGCCGCCGCCGCCGACTGCTGCCTGGGAGCCGCGGGGCGCCGGCTGGTCAAAATCGCCGTGGTGGGCGCCAGCGGCGTGGGCAAGACCGGTGAGTCCTGGCGCTCGGCCGAGACGCCGCCGATTGCCCGCTGGACGTGGGCGGCCGGGGTGGGAGTTGCGGCTAAACCAGGCGCGGGGAAGACCGGGCTTGGGGTGGGCGGTAGGTTTGCAGCTGGACCGTCCACCCTCTGCTGTTGATCCGCTGCCCCTCGCGAGGGACCTTGGTCAGCGTCCTCCCCTCTCCTCCTCCAGAGGAGAGAAACTAGGATCCAGGATGGTCAGGCGACTTCCCAGTGCCGCCGGCAAACTGGGACTGGAACTTTGGGGGTTCTTGAGCCTTTGATAGTACCTGCATACCAGAGGGGGGACTGCGTGACTCTAACCCCTCCAGGGTGTGCGTTAAGGTTAGGCCAGACGTTCGTCTGCGGGGAGGCTGGGGTTCAGTTCGGCTCAGAGGAGGGGGCTGGGCCAAATGACCCTTCCAGCTGGACAGAGCCATAATTCACGGTGCCTCCTTGCCCCTCTCCGTTGTGTCTGCCAGAGGGGTCAGGAGCTGCAGGGTAGGAATTTCACTTGGTGGCTTTCTCTAGGAGGCAGGCTTTTTCTGCGAGAGTTCCTTTTCCAGGCTGGGGGTGGAGTGAGCACTAATTTTACTTCTTGGGCCCGGTTTAACCCTCTTCTCCTTCTCTGACCTGCAGCTCTGGTGGTGCGGTTCCTCACCAAAAGATTCATTGGTGACTACGAAAGAAATGCAGGTGAGGAAATGCACTGGAGGAAAATGCTGTCAGCCGGGGCCAGGGCTGTCCTTTTTTAGTGTCTCGCAGGGAGGTTCCTTCAGGGTGACAGTGTGAGCACCAGGCGCCTGCCACTTCCCACTGCGTGCCCCATCCCGTGCGTCCCCTCCCATAACTGCCATCTGGCCTCATTCCATTCCAGCCCCATTCATCATTTTATCAAGTGCCTGAAAGTATTCTCCTTGGTATGTTTTAACTATAGGGACCCCAGTTGGAAGCACCCTTTGTACTCAAGAGCCTCTCCCTTCAAAACACTCCTGAAAAAGTCGTAAAAAAAAAAAAAAAAAAAAAAAAGATGGTCTGCTCCTCCCCCACCCCACCCCCTCTGCTGGCTGCCTTTCAGAGGTGACCTTTTAAAGCAAAGGCCAAAGGAGAGCAGTTGTAAACCTAAAGTTCCCTTTTCTTAACAAAGAAAAATAACTAGATGGTAGCTTTTTAGGGGGAGAATTCCTGAATAAATGAGAGGACACTATTTCAATCCCTATGATTAAGTATCGTCACTAGGGAAGTTTAAGGGCTTTCTGCTGATGCTGTTAGCAAATTGTTTAATTCCTTAGACCATGGGAAGCACCTACTGGGGATTATTTGAAATGTGCTATATAAACCATCCCAAGGGGAGGCAGCCTACTGCTTTGATGTAGAGTTCACTATCATGGTGTCCCATTTTTATTCCAACTGATGTTGGCTGTGTATTTACTGACACTATTTGCCTACCAAGTTGTTCTGTCTGTCTACTATACCAAATATATTGATGTGATTTACAGTGGGAATTCTAATCAAAGAATGATTAGATACTAAAGTAAAACAAATCCCACACATGTTTGTTGAGCAAGAAAATTTGCTTCAAGGAAAAACTCTAAATGTGGAAACTGTTTAAAATGAGACATACCAGTTTCCAAAAACTTGTAAACTTTGCCCTGGTTCTAATAAATCCACTAATGTGAGATAAAAAATGATAGTTGTTTTTAAAAAATCAAAAATAAGCCTAGAGTGTTTTAACAGTTGTACAAGAAGACCATGACCTTTCTCTCTCCCTTCATAGGTAACCTCTACACCAGACAAGTACAAATAGAAGGCGAAACCCTGGCTATTCAGGTTCAAGACACTCCAGGTATTCAGGTGAGAAACTCAGAGATATGTGTCTAGGTCAGAGGGGAGTGTCCTTGCTCAGTTATTCCCAAAGTACCTCTTGATGAAAGATGAGAGATTTGGGTGGTCAATTCCAGAAACTTTTATCTGCAGTTTGTCATTTCAGTTGTATCTTGGCTGTTGGACAGTCTTAGCTTGGCTTAACTTTGGGAGATTTAGCAAAGGGACAGAAATCTTTTTTTAGGTTTATGCTACCTAGCTGGAAAGACCAAACACACTTAGAATTGACAAATTTCCTTGACAAAATGAAAAGGACATTTTTAACATTTGTGTTTTTGGCATTAAAAAGCAAGTACCTAGGTATCACCTCCAGATACTTGGAATCACTTTTATATTGTGGAAAGTTACTCTATAGACAAAAGAGCCATGCTCGTGTGTATGTTTCCTCTTTAACTGGGCAGTTATCCAGGTTTAAATGCTTCCAGCTCCTATCTTTACTTCTCCAGACTTACTGTCTAGCCAGTTAATTTCCCATTTTGTGCAACTACAAAGTCTCTCTGCATGGAGTGCTCTGCAGGTCAATTTTCCACTAGTGTGGTGAGCTACACTGTTATTTATTCCAACTCTGTGCAGCTGGATCAACATATTGTCAAGAAAGCCAAAGTGTGTGGGGATAGAACTTGTTTATGGCCTGCAACCTTGGCGTTACTGTCAGGGGCTCTTTTAAATTCTCTATCCAGCCGAGCAGGGCTTTTGGGCTGTACTCACCCTTCACCTTGTGGTCACCCTTTCCTTTTAGGTCCAGGAAAACAGCTTGAGCTGCACGGAACAGCTGAATAGGTGCATCCGCTGGGCAGACGCCGTGGTGATCGTGTTCTCCATCACCGACTATAAGAGCTACGAACTGATTGGCCAGCTGCACCAGCACGTCCAGCAGCTCCACCTGGGCTCGAGGCTGCCCGTGGTGGTCGTGGCCAACAAAGCCGACCTGCTGCACATCAAGCAGGTTGACCCTCAGCTCGGACTGCAGCTGGCCAACGTGCTGGGCTGCTCCTTCTACGAAGTGTCCGTCAGCGAAAATTACAATGATGTCTACAATGCTTTCCACGTCCTGTGCAAAGAAGTGAGTCATAAGCAGCAGCCCAGCAATACCCCAGAGAAGCGAAGAACCTCCCTCATCCCTCGGCCCAAATCACCCAACATGCAGGACCTGAAGCGGAGGTTCAAGCAAGCCCTTTCCGCCAAAGTTCGGACTGTCACCTCGGTCTGAAGCGGGGGCCCTCTGGGCTGTGGTCTTCCCAGAAAGAGGGCCCGGGCTTCTCACTGTGAGGAACATTGAATGCTGGCAGTAATTCATGGTTCCAGAAAGGGCTGGAGCAGAGGGGCTGGACAGCCTATGCCACTGCTGCAGAAAAAGAAGCGTGGTTTGGAGCAGGGGGATGGAACTGATGAGGCTTGAAAGAGCCCTCAGCCGCTCTCTGAATATGTGAAATGTACTTACAGCCTTTCCTCTGGAGTGGGGAGGGGCATAATGGCTTTGGATTTTGTTCTTACCTACCTTGTAAATGCCCGTCAGTTGTAGTTTCACCAAATATATTGATGTGATTTACAGTGGGAATGAAAGGACAGGTTACACACCAGTTCCTTCCCCTCCCTTTTCTTCTACCTGGAGGAAGAGTTGCTTTTTCTCGTATGAGTTACATCTCTGGAATACTGTTCCTTCTAGAATATCCTTCTAATCTGAAGGATACCCAGATTTGTTTTTTTTTAAAGAACAAGGAGGAAAATAATCCCCCCACCCTCCAAAGTAGGCTGGAGTTCATGGGTCAAATGGTGTGTGTACAGCTTTTTTTAAGGCCTGCTGGAAGGAGCGGCTCCTGACAGGAGGAGTATGTTTCGCTGGGCATGTGTTGAGTGGTTAAGAACTCAAAAACTCTTCAACCCCAGATTTTGAGTAATTATGAGCTTGTATATTATTATTTTTTTAATTTGTATCAGGTACCAAAAAAAATGTGTTCATTGATTTTGGTGTGATTTGTGTAAATGGCTCATGGTAATGATGTTGGGTTGCTCGAGGCCTGGCTGAGTCGTGGCCTTGGTGGCTGAAATATGAAAACACAGGGAATGAGTCCATGCAGAGGCCACCACCAAATCCCCTACACAGATGCACTTTAAAAAGCCACTCATGCTTTGGCTTCGACTGTAATTAATTTATTTTATGTACAATAAATTTCATTTTAAAAGAGCAGATGTCTGACTTGGTCTTGACAGAAATGCTCGCCTTCTGTCCTTCAGACAAAGTATTACTCAGTACCTTGTACTTACTGGGCACGTTGAGTCAGGTATCATGTCTTCCTAGGGTTACCTCTTAAATCTCATAACCAGCCAATGAGTGACGTTCATTATCCGCATTTTACAGTGGAGGAAGCAGGCTTAAAAACACATTAGGTAACTTGTCAAAGCCCAGGCCTGTGAGTGTTAGACATTGTAATTTGCAGCTTTACATTCAAGAGTAGCTTGTCTGCTGTTCATTTCCTTCATCATCCTCAGGGTAAATCTAAGGCAAGTGTCTGGTTATACATTTAATGCTGTTAAGACATCTTTGAGCTAAGCCTTGGCGCTATCACTGCTTTTACCCAAGATTACTGCTTCTCTGTACGTGCCTTCCTTGGCAAACCTCTTTGTGTATCCTGCTTTCAAAAAGTGCACTTTATTTCCATTGTAGAAGCTCACAGCCTTTGATCTGGGCTGTTGAGGAGTCCCTCCCAGGGAGCTTCTGTCACAAGTGCATGTGCTAAAATGGCCAGATCTCATCTGCTTCCATGGGGCCTGGGAGACCTTTCATGCAGACTAAGTGAGTCACCATCTTTATGGGCAAATAATCACACCTTCTATTTGAATAGTGCTTTCACATTCCTGATCTCATTTAATCCTCAGGCTAACCCCGTGAGGAGCGTGGAGGAGGGGAGACTCCCGTTTTATAGATGAGAAAAACAGATTCCAAGTTTTGAGTGATGTCTTCAAGTTCACGCAAGACTTCATATCTTCTGACCATATTCGATATTCTTAATTCCTTTACAATAGTTCACATATACGATACAGCTGCGTATGTGAGGCCAAAATAGCTATTGAGGGGTCACTAGGATATGGGCAGGCTTTCTCATCTGTTTTCCCAGAGTAAATACCCTGCCTGCTCTCTTGATAAGGCCTCTGAGGTATCCCAAACCTTCCTTATATGGAGGGCAGTTTTCTACACTTCTGAGAAGTGGGTGTGCATTGGGAACAAGGAGGGACCCCGTGAAACCATGCTGACAGATCCTAAAAACATCTCGAGTGATCACTATTTCCTGCTTGATTCTGCTCACTTGCTTCTGTTCATTCTAGTTGGTTGTATTTAATGTCTAGTGAGTGAGAAGTTAATCTTTATGTAGCTAACAATGGTCTTCTACCCATGTTCTGGAATTAAGGAAGATACAGTGGTTTCCTGTGGGCTTTACCTTGCCAGGTGCTGAGCAGGGCTGCAAGTCCATTTCGTCCTGGCACCTGCTTTCCCCCCCTCTACTCCCCTCTGCAGGCCTCTGGGCCCACACACCTCTGGCTTGCTGGCACTTTACAGTGTACCCTGTGTCCCCACCCAACCTCTCACACTTCACTTTAGAAGTTCAGGCTGGAGGGCATCTTAGGGTCCTGGTCCATCCAGAGGGATCGAGAGGTTTGTTGAAGGCCCTTGGAAGAGAGAAAGCCCATCTGGAAACCACCCCAAGCCCGGTTCTGTCTGTCTCATACTGACTTGACTATTTATAGTCCTGGAACACACCATGTTTTTTCCTTTTCTTTTGAATTTAGCTTCATGTATCATTACTTTTGCTCATCCTTTGATTATTCCTATCTCTTATCCCTGATTTTTTTGTTGTTTTGTTTTTAATATCTGAACTACCAACACAGCACTGAGAAGCAACCGTCTCCCTCTAGGTTGAGGGAGCACCTCCTTTGCCAGTGGGTGAGGGAAGGGAGAGGTGTGGGGAGGGCAGGGAATGAAGGGAAGGAATTAGAATTTATTGAGCATTTACAATGTCTCAGATTACACATGATCACCTTTAGTCTTTTGAAGACTCCTGTGAGGAAGGTAATAACATCACTGCCATTTTTTTTTTAAAAGATTTATTTATTTATGCATACAAGAACTGGGGTACAGGCCAGAGGCATTGGGCAGGGGTGGGGTGTGTGTGTGTGTGAGGATTCACCAGAGACAGAATGGGAAACAGAACTGGCGGATTGACTGAAGTACACTGCTGAGGGGAGCAGCAGGCGAGTCAGGAGAGGTCTACTGCGCCATGTGGGTCACCTCCCTGGCCGGGGATCGAACTCTTGCTCCAGTGGCTGCAGATAGCCTCATAGTGCTGCGTCTTAACCCTTTATGCCACCAGGGAGGCCCACATCACTGTCATTTTAAAGATGAGACTCAGATTAAAAATCACCCGCTTTGGGCCACATGTGTGCTAACAATTATAATTTCTATTGATTGAAAACCTACTTGCCAGGGCCTGAGTGCTTGAAATAATTTACATTTGCCACACCAGTCCCACCATCCAGTCCCCTGTGCAGATCATCGGGACCAGAATGAAGCAAGGGCTCAGCTCCTAAGTGGCAGATTCAGGGTTCCCACCCAGGTCTGTCTGATGCCACAGGCTACACCATGAGCAGTGGTCCCACAGCCTCCCAGGGCTGGCTCCTCAAAGCAAAGACCCCTGCAGCCCCCTCCTCTTCCCTGCCCTAGCCCCTGTGTGGGTGCTGCGTTCCTCATCTCCCTGCTCCTCCCTGGCCCCAGGCCGACCTGGCAGGCACCGCCACATCTGCTGTTGCCATCAGCCGCTGCTCGCAGGCCTCCAGTCCCAGCTCGGTAATAAAGACGTCCAGGAGGCGTGGAGGGGGGAGCCCACGGCCGGTCTGCTCAGAACCGGATCCCTGCCTGTCGTGATGTCTGGCTTTCGAGTTTCCTCCCTGCCTCAAATCAAAACCATCCGAACACCCTGCAGCCTGCTGGCGCGGTGCTGGGTGCGCAAGGACCCAGCCGCCCTGGCCGCGGGCTGCGACTCGCCCCGCTGGCAATTCACGGAGGGCGCCGCCCGGCGCACCGCCCTGTCGGCCCCGTCCAGGGCGCGGGCCTTAGGGGTGTATTTATAGAGTCCCTGGTTCTGGTGAAAAAGTAGGATTTCGACATTGATCTTACACTCTAAAAGGGTGAAAACAAATGTTTTCTGGGCAGATGAACTAGCTGTGGGCCAAAACCTCACTTGAGCAACTGGGAACCTCTGGGTCTTGCCTCTGCTCCCAGGGGCTGTTAGCCTGTGAGGTCGATGGGCCGCCCCTCTCCTGCTAACCTCTGCTGAGGGCCCAGGGACTGGGCAGAGGCTTTCTCACACTTTACTATAATGCTCTTTATTTATAAAACTTACTGTAATAACCCAGGAAAATTGGCATTTCCTACACTCCTTCTGGAGTCTAAAGAGGGAAATTTCGAGAAAGTTCTTGTAGTCTCCTCTTGTCTCCCATTTTGGTGAGAACTGGATTAGGGTAATTACTGATTTGTGGCAAGATCCCAGCCACCCCCACCCCCACCCCATGCTCCCTTCTCAAGTACTCTATCTTCTGATTTTATCTTCTTAAATTCCATTTAAAATAGAGTTTTCAAGATGTTTCTCAGGCGGGCATAGCAGACAACATTTGTAACACTGGATTATTTGTTGTTGAGATTCTGTTTCTAGTAACCAGGGTAAAATAAATAATAGTAGTCTTGAGGGAGTTCCATGGAATTCTTTGTTACTGGGATAACATTGTAATGGAGGGTCCTGGTGTAAACAGAGTCATTTCCACAGGCCCTGGCCCTCTGGGGACAACTCTTGACCGGAGGCAGCACCCAGCACCTCTGAACACTTTGTTGTGCATGTTGTGTTTGTGGAAGTGGACTCCAGAAGGAGAGTTTACAAAGGCGGAAGTCAATGGATACTGAGTATTTACACCTCAGTCAATTGTGTTTATAGAGCGGCCTGTGAGGTTCTTGGCAGAAGATTTGCATTTGCATTTGCATGTGCTTGTTTTGGCTCTGACCAGCCAGAATTTAGATGGTAAGCACTCAGACCCAGGATGGAGGGCAGAGAAACCAGCTCTACCACTTCACCTTTTAAACTACCTTCAGGTGGCTAATATCTGGTAGTGGGGAATTCCTTTAGAATTGGTACATTTGCACGAGATTGAAGTGATAAAATCAGGGTGTCAGCCTCAGAAACCACAGGCCTACTTCACCTACTCCAGGGCTATCATTAGTGACAGAGAAAGTTCTATTAGAGACTGAGGGCCTTGCATGAACTGCCTATGGTGGCAATTCTTATAGGCACCTGGCCAGCTTGCCATGTGCCATTTTCTGAGCGCTTTACACTCACTGTAAAGCACTGTCTAATTTCACAGTCCAATTTGTCACTGTCCAATTTCACAGTCAACTGAGATGGTGTTAGGGGGAAAAGATGTCCTGAGCTAATCCCATACAGGCTTTGTGGACCCCACCCCCACTCCAGACTAAAGCCATCAAGACATTGGGAAAGACAAATCCCATCACCACCAAAGGGAGGGTGGCTGGGACCTGAGGGTGGAGTTGGGCAGCCAGGTTGGATATAAAAACCAAACACGTGGGCCTTGGGGTGGCTCACAATCGCTCGACTCCTGGCTTCATGGCTCCTGGCTCGCGGCCAGCTCTCAGAACGCCATTTTGGGATTCCTGATTGGCAGATCGGGTAGGACTCATTTAAAACTTTGTCTCCCACTTTTCTCCCTGAGCTGTACATTTCCTCATTTCCCCTTCCCTTGTAAATAAACCTTTTATTAACCTTTCGCGTGTGCCTGCAGGAGAGCATTGATAAGTCCTTTTAAGCGCGCGGGTGAGGACCCACAGTCAGGCACCCCGTTTTGTATCGGGGCTGCTCTACAACAATGGGAGAAGTGGACTACTGTGTGGAAGGGGTGGCACTGGAACCTAGGCCGTGGGGGATAGCTCCGGGCACTGCTCCTGGCCTCTGGGCTATACTCAATTAGAACTATGGGCCAATATGTCATTCCTCCTCCATTTTTTCACCTCCTTGTGAACTCCAGGAATGCCTCTGAATATTCTTTTCATTTGACATCACTCTCCTGTTGATACTTTATCATTTAGTGAGGTAACTTCTGTGGTGTTCTCAGCAGTATGAACTCACATTCCTTTGTGTCACGTGCTAGCCACGGTGTTAGGAATGGCTGCCCTTGAGAAACCTCTCATGACCTAAGTACCATTTGTTATCCTCTGTATTTTACAGATGTAGACACTGAGACTCAGAAGAAGTCTGAGCTAGAGAAGTCTCTAGGTCTCTGATTAACCACTGCTCCTTCACCGAGGGTGGGGGAAGGGGCTTCTCCCCACCCTCTTCTCCCCCATAGGAAGACTGTACCTCAGATGTTCCAGGCTACTACCAAGAAGCCACACTGCATTTCCTGAGCCTCCTTTTTTAGCTTTATCTGTTGAAGGCCCTTTGCAGGATTTATACCAAGTGTCTATTATGTTCCTGCTTCTTATTCAAGGGACATCAGTCTGTGCTGCACCTCCTACCTTCTTATTCAAACTAAACTCTGGATACCACAAACTTCTTCCAACTCACCTTTTCTCCAAAGCCTCTTATAATGCAATTGCACTGTCTGCCTAGCTTAGTCCCTACAACCAGGGACCACAGAGATGGGGGAAATACCATAAACTAACTTCTTTAAATTATAAACCAAACTTTTGACATTTGCCCCCACCTCTCAGAGACTGCCTTTAGCCACATTTCACATTTAAGTATTTGCTTAAAAATTAACAGTCACAATCAGGAACTTCCTCCTTTGATCATTTCATATTAACAACTTGTGAAAATTCTTTTTTAAAAGAAAAAAATAACTTGTAAAATTATGTTAAAGCCGCAAAAGCTAGACACAAATACTTGTCTGCTGTGAAAAAAATTAAAACAACACTGAAGGATACTCTTTCTCAGCCCTTGCCTTCTATGGTCCTTCCCAGAGGTAGCCACTTGTTAGCAGTTTGATTTCTATATTTCTAGAGTGTCCTTTGTATACTGACATATGGTTTAAAACTTAACCTTGAGCAGAAACTCTTACAGGCTCCAGCATCAGGAGAAGCAGCAGCTGCTCGTTCTGTGAGAGCCGAGTCAGGGACACGCCTGGCTCAGGCAGCCCCAAGGCTTGAAACTGAGCAGGGCCAGTTCCAGGAACATGCCAGGTGCTCACCCCATCTCTGGGAATGAATAAGTGACTGACTGAACAGGTTACTTCTTAATTTTTTTTTTTTTTTTTTAGAAAATAGCGCTCTCTGCTTTAATTATCCTTTTGGGCTGTGCCATTTTCCTCCTTATTTAAATTCAAAAGTTCTAGGTTGGTGGAATGAAATAAGCAACTGAGGCCTGCAATATTTCAGCACTTGGAAAGAGCTAGTGTTGGGTGGAAAAGATACTCGGGCAAGAAAAAGAACATGGATGTCTACAAAGCCTGCTTTGATTTTGTCTTAGAATGATTTCCAACTTCACAGTGTTTTTCATAAACTGGCAGTTGCATGTAGAGGATTAAAATTAAGACATGTAGTGTTTAGTTTACATTTTATTTCCTCTGTCTGTTTATTCCACACTAGAAACTTTTTCAGCTTTAACTCTTTATTCCAAAAATCCTTTAGAGATGCTAGAATTTTCCATTAACCACACACTTATAAATGTGTGGATTCCAAGCAATTCACTGTTGCCAAAATCCTTATATAATTTCATTTGGTGGGTCTGGGTTTTTTTCTGCTTGTGTCAAAGAGAAACTTTTAATTTCTAGAAAAGAAAGTTTTGTATTTCAATAGAAATGAAATCACAAAAATCACAGGAGTTGGGTTCCAATCTAGAAGCCCTGGGGCCAGATGTCTTTATTGGGGTCTTCCCTTGGGAAGGGAGGAAGCCTTTCATGGGCAGACAGCCCCCAAGACAATTTCTCTGACTCCCATTCCAGTGGGCTGGCAGTCCTGCCAGGCGAGCAGACGGGAACAATGGAGCCCTTTGTGAGGGGGAAACCATTTACAGCGGGCAGACTACTAGCCCTGCCTAGTTGCTACCTTCCCTGCCTTGCAGAATCAAGATCTCAGATCAAGAGAAAAACAAAGCCTCGGATCCTACTTGTGATGGTCCCTCCTTGGTTATATAATCTTAAGAAAAAACAAACTTTCCTCACATTCATAATTTTAAAGCACCTCTAACTTCTCAAGCAACTACAGAGCAAATGGCTTGTTATCTAGCAACACCTGCCAACAGGCAGTTATTTGGAATTCATCAACTTGCAGGTGAAATCAGGACGATCACAAATAGAGGGTTAAGGAGAAGTAGGAATGATCACTAAACAGGTCAGCTGAGAAAGTCTAACACTTTAAGAAAAATTAAAAAAAAAAAAAAACCAACATTTTAAGAAATGCAGCAATCAGGCATGGTACTTCACTGCAGAATCCACCCCGGTGGGCGGAATCCATCCCAAAACTAGTAATGGGGACGCTGGACTGGGCGTATGTTGAATGGCGACCGACAAGAGCATTCCGGCTCAGGTGGGCCTCATCGCCACAGCAGAAGCTCAGAAGCCAAGGTCTGGATGCAGCCGGTCAGTTGCAAAGAGCAGCTCCGGAATGTGGAGTGGCTTCAGGAGTCGCGTGGACAGCACGATGACCTAACAACAGGAGGGCAAACACACGCAGACAATCAGGGAAGCCAATCCCAGGACATTAGGCACTGAGAAGTAAAATGTAACAAGTTTCTCTGGGGGTAGGGGAGCATGGAGTGGGGGACTATGAAGGAAAAGGCAGAGCAACTTGGGTTGCTTGAATGGAACCAGAGCTAGAGGCTCCTGGCTGCTTAACCAAGGGATGCTAAGATGACCGAGCCCAGCCACTGCCTTGCTGCTGAACTGAACTTGACCATCACTGAATCTGGCCTGGTGCTTTGCAATCTGACACAGAAACCTCAATAGAGGAGTTTCTCCCTCCTTCAGTGAGTATGAGAAGGCACATCTAAAAGGTCGATGTTCTGGTGATGATGATGGTATTAAGTTCCTAGTATCCCAAACTGGGTGGTGGTTCTGCAACCATCCCTGGCAGGGCAGGTTCATAGTCAGTTCAGTCAGCTTAAGAGAAAATCTTGGAGCCCTTGGCATCATCCTCACAGGTTAGGGGAAAACAAGGCAGTGGGAGGACAGCAACTTGGGCCCCCTGGGAATCCCTATACATGCTATCCTCTCGTTGCCATTTGCTCTTAACCGCTCTCCACAGCATTCTGCTGCATGGTCCCCTGCTGCGCCGTCCTCTGTGATCCTGCCCTTACATGCTCAGTCTTTCAGCTCAGGCGTGCACACTTATGCACACCCACACCACACACCATGTGTCCACCATCAGGCATGCGTACCCCGTCCACAGCCAAGCACCTCCTGCATTCAAGGCTGCAGGTGGTAGCCACAGAGGCCAATGGCGCAAAAGCCTGAGCAATGTTCATTTACCCTACAGTGGTTTAAACAACAGAAATTTATTGTCTTTTAAGTCTGGAGACCAGCTATCTGAGATCAAGTTGTGGCAGGGTGAGTTCCTTCTAAGAGTTGAGGAAAAATCTGGTCCAAAGCAGAGGAAAAGCAGATGAGGCTGAGTCAGGGGAGAGGCGGAAGGAAGGATGCTGTAGGATAAATGAAGTAGTCAGGCTTTTTATGTCCTGCTGCTGCTAGTGTGGATGCCCAGGGCCGAGGGGTGTGTGCTTGGGGCACGTACTCCTTTGATTATGGACACCTGGGCCCAGAGCACACGGGTGTGCCCATGTGTAAGCACACGGGTGTGCCCATGGGTGTGCTCACACTCGTGTCAGATAAAAGGGCAGCATCACCCTGAGGCAAGAGGACCACTCTGAGGAGCACTCAGAGAGGGGACTGCCAGAGAGAATGCCAGAGGCCAAAGAAAGAGCAAAGATTTACCAGGGGCGGAGGCTGGCCAGCCTCCTGGTTGCCCAGCCCACTGCCTGGCTTGTGCCTGTGTACCTGGTTCCCTGAGAGGGCATTAAAGGCCTCTAAAATCTATCAAGGGTTCCAGGACTTCCCTTTCTGTCTGTCCGAATCCACAGTGAACCTGCCCTGTGCATGCCTGCACTACAGATGCATTTTGTACTTTTCTTATTGTTGTTAAAGTTTATTGAAAAGTTTTATGTTAATGTGATCCAAGGTGGCTGTGACTCTACACCAACACTAGTGAGGACCCCCGATTTCATAGTAGGTGGTGTCAGGCTGCTGGGAAGTTAGTACTGCCAGGATGAATCTTCCACTAAAATAATTTTTTTTTTTTTTTGTGGGACCCTTGCCAGTGGCCTGGGATTGAACTGGCACTGCAGAGGCTGCAGGCAGCCTCACAACCCAGCACTCAACCGCTGTGCCACCAGGGGAGGCCCTAATTTTGTTTTTTTTTTTTTTCAGTGTTTAGTAAAGATATGAAGAACTCTCTAGAAAAATATGCATATATTCATACATACAAAATTGGAATACAGTTTTAGGGGAGGTTTGTGGACAACTAGAATTCATAGATGAGAAATTAGGATCCACTTTAGATTTTTTTTTAAATGAACATGTAAAAAAAAATCTTTTGCACACTCTGGTAGAATTATGAAGTAGTAGGAGCCAATGTAGCAAATGTGCCAAAGACCCTTCTCCTCGCTGTGACTTGCTAGTCTCCACTACCACTGCCAGCTCCTGTGGTCCTTAGTTCCAGTGCCAAGTTGGCAGAGTTCTCTCTGGCTGAGGCAAAGGCAAGGGGAAGGGCTAGATTGAGTCCCTGAGGACACATAAGTCTAGTTGGCAGGTTGGAGGAACTTGGATAGAAAAGGCTACAGACTTCGTTGATGTTGATACTTCTAGAGGAGCAATAAACTGAGCCAAAAGAATCCATCACCTCAGGTTGTAAGCTGGGCTTCCACCCACAGTTGAAAGGTTCGGTCACCTCTACCGAGCTGTAGCCAAAGGCCAGGCCCTTCACATCTAAACAAGCAGGTATTTACACAGCATGATGGCTGAACCAGAGGATGTCTGAGGCCTGCTCTGGGGAGGGCTGAAAAGAAACAGATGGGAAACAGGCAATGCATGCAGTAGGTTAGGGAGTCTTTTAGAAGAAGAGAGAGCAGGATTAAGAACAAGGACTCTTGGGGCCTCCCTGGTGGCACAAGGGATTAAGATGCAACCTATGAAGCTGTCCACAGCTACTGCAGCAGAAATTCGATCCCCACATGGCACAGCAGATCTCTCCTGACTTGCCTTCTGCTCCCCTCAGCAGTGTACTTTGGTCAATCTGCCTGTTCTGTTCCCTACTCTGTCTCTGGTGAATCCTCTCCGCCCACCCACCCCCGTACCTCTGGCTTCTACCCAAGCTCTTGTATGATAAGTAATTAAACAAATATTTTTTTTAAAAAAAGAACATGGATTCTTGCTGGATAGTATAGTGGTTAAGAGCACAGGCTTAGGGGTGTCCATTTGGAGTTGGACCCAGCTGGGCCACTTGCCAGCTTAATGACCCTGGAGAAGTTGCTTAATTGCTCTGAGCCTCCATTTCCTCATCTGTAAAGTGGGAATAGTGATATCTGTCTCTCCGGATTATTGGGATCAAATGTGAATTTCTGTGTAAAATACGTAGCTCAATGGAACTGTTCTGGAACTTACTTCTCTTACTCTGCCTGAAGGCCTCACAGTCATCCTTCAATAATCTTCTCAGGTATCACCAACTCCAGGAAGCCTTCCCAGACCACCCTTCCCTAAGGACTGAGTGTGTTCCCATGGCTATTGATATCACCCTGTATTTCCTGTTCTTAACTGAATCTTTTCATTGTTTCTTAACGTAGTGCCTGATATATAGCAGGTTCTGATAAGGCCAGTTAGTGAGTGATTAAATGAATGAACAAAAAAACAATAGGATAATGAAGGAGGCAATGAGTCTAGGTAGTGAAAAATAGCTCAAGTATTACCAGGTAGATTTGTTTCAAATCTACTCAATTAAAAACATATTTGAGCACCATTACTCACAATAGCCAAGACAGGGAATCAACCTGAAGCCCATCGTTAGACAGGTAGATAAACTGTGGACTAGATACTCAATGGAATACTATTCTTCTATTAAAAAAGATGAAAAATGCCTTCTGGGACAAAATGGATAGACCTTGAGGTGATGATGCTAGGTGGAGTAAGTCAGAGGTGAAAGACAGTTACCAGATGGTATTACTCATTGTGGAATATAAATCACCAAAGAAAACAAACTGGCAAAATACAACAAAAATAATCCCAGACTGTGAAAAATATGGTGGTTATCAGAAATGGGGGAGATGAAAGGGGGTAACATGACAATGCAAGGGCAAAAGCTGTGGGGAGAGGGGGCAAAGCATGTGTATATACATGAAGCTGCACTCCCCAAATTATATAGTCTCATAAATAAATGGCAAATCAATAAAATTTGATTAAAAAGTACTTGTTAATGGGCCTCCCTGGTGGCACAAGGGGTTAAGATGCAACCTATGAAGCTATCCAAGGCCACTACAGCACGAGTTCCATCTATCAAGGGTTACAGCCAGCCAGCCACATGGCATAGCAGACCTCTCCTGCCTCGCCCGCTGCTCCCCTCAGCAGTGTATTTTGGTCGATCTGCCCGTTCTGCTCCCCACTCTGTCTCTGGTGAATCCTCTTACCCCACAGGTCTGGCCTGTACCCCAGTTCTTGTATGCATAAATAAATATTTTTAAAAAGTACTTGTTAGTATAAAATTCCTATTTTGAAGACCAAGCAGGGTTGTACTGCTAACATGTCATATAGTAGCTGCTTCTCCTTTTCACATCTTAGGCATCTTTTGCTCCTCAGATAGCTTTCAAGCTAGCTGAGTTTTTTTTGTTGTTGTTGTTTTTTTTTTTTTTTTTTTTTTTTCAGAATTTCCACATTATTTGGTTAAAACAGTCCTGAGAATTCTAAAAAAATTAAACAAATGAGAGGAAAAAGAAAATGCGTAAAAGTCTGCAACTGGACTGTTGGATATGAATTTAAATTTTATAAACACAGTCATCAGATGTGGGTATTAGACATATTGAACAATAGAGAATTCCTTTTGGTGAGTTCACTTTTTCCCCACAAACCGAGGGCACTACCGATGGAAATTTCCATCTGTGAGGCAGGGGTGGGGAGCCTCGACCAAGTCCCTGAAGCAGACTTCAGGGCTCCCAGGCAGTTCCAGCTGGAGGGGTGGCTGGTTCTTTGTTCTCAGCCCGCCTGAGCTCCTGCGGCCCCGCCCTCTCCTCCCACTTCTCCAGGCCTTCTCTCTAATTTGTAGGTGCAGCATCTTCCTGTTCTATTTCTGCAGAGCATGAGGAAGCAGGTCAGTCAGGATTTAGGTTCTATCTCCCTCTGATTTCTAACATATAAATTGAATGGGACAGAGAACACATTTTTTTCTTTTTCTTTTAAACTTGGGAGAATCTTCCCAATGAAAGATACCAACATGCATAGTCAACCATTGGCTGAGTTGGATTTTGAGCACATAATGATATTCAAGGCACTACACACCCCCACCTGTACCTACACACTCACATACTGTGTTAAACATAAAAAGTGTGTATCGGTACACCAGTGGGACAGTGGATTAATTTAATGGACATGACCAAACTTCTGGAAAA